CCCCCAAGATGAGACCTAAAACTAGATCTCTTGTTAATTAGCTGCAAATCAAATGCCTGTTAAAGGAACAGTTATGAAGTCTGGCTCAACACTTGGCAACCCAATGTAGAATCTAGTTCAAACAGTGCTGGAAGGAAGGAAGGAAGGAAGGAAGGAAGGAAGGAAGGAAGGAAGGAAGGAAGGGTTTTTATACCCCACTCTTCACTACCTGAAACAGTCTCAGAATGGCTTACAATCGCCTTCCCTTCCTCTCCCCACAACAGACACCCAGTGAGGTAGCTGGGGCTGAGAGAGCTGAGAGAACTGTGACTGACCCAAGGTCACCCAGCTGGCTGCATGTGGAGGAGTGAGGAATCAAACCTGGTTCTCCAGATTAGAGTCCTCCACTTTTATGCACTACACCACAGCTGCTCAGAAAGAAAGAAAGAAAGAAAGAAAGAAAGAAAGAAAGAAAGAAAGAAAGAAAGAAAGAAAGAAAGAAAGAAAGAAAGAAAGCTGTCCTGTACTGGCTCAAGTGGTTAAGATGCTGAACTGCAGGCTGTGGAAGGTCGGTAGTTCAGCAGTTCAAGACCCGAGTTGCCGCATGATGGAGTGAGCTCCCGTCTCTAGTTCCAGCTCCTGCCAACCCAGCAGTTCGAAAGCAAGAAATTGCAAGTAGATAAATAGGTACCACTTCAGTGGGAAGGTAACAGCGTTCCGTGCACCTTGGTGTTTAGTCATGCTGGCCACGTGACCACGGAAACGTCTTCGGACAGCGCTGGCTCTTTGGCTTTGAAATGGAGATGAGCACCGCAACCCTAGAGTCGGATTCGACTGGCTTTCGAGCAAGGGAACCTTTACCTTTACTTTACTGGCAGTATACGTAGGACAAGCAATATTTTCCTGGTCATTTGGCAACCCCATAGCGATACTGGGAGCCAGGGGAAGGAAGGCTCCCAACTGATGAGAAAAAAACAACCTTTGTTGACTCTTGTTCCTTTTAGAGAGGTTTGATTGGCAGAAGTCAGAAGATGATGCTTTGTATACTAAAAAGCTAAGCATAAGACTTTTTTGCAGCTGCAGATCAAACTTCGGTTAAAAGAACCTTCAGCTCAAGGAACAGCCGTTTCCAAAGGTGGCCACCTTCGTTCTGCCACCCTCCTGTTTTAAGAAAGCTGTAGGACAATCTGGTGGGGCTGTGAATTCCATTAGACCAACCCCTCTCTGCGTTTTCCTCCTGTGATTTGAGCAATGCACAGACTGTTGATTAAGCTGCCTTTAAAGATGCAGGATCAGGGGCTCGTAAAAAGTTGGCAACCTTCTTCACACAGATTTGGTTCCCCCATATTCCTGGGATTTCTAGTTTTCTCCGAAAAGGGTTTGTCCCAGGCTCGCTGATCAGCTGCCTAGACTTTCCTTGCCTCCCACAAAGCTGTTAATAATGTAATGGCATCTGTTTTCTTTTGGACAGAACATTTCCACCCTCCCTTAATCCTGGGTTCAGCTTATGTGCTTGTTGACAGCTGAATGGCTTGAGGTCGTAAAGCAAAAATGTCCATTAATCCTTGGGAGGGAGGCCAAAATCCACCACAAACTGGTTTGCATTGCGGTAAATAGCTACTAAAAAGTCATTGATGGCATGAGAAAGGTGCCGGGAATAATGGCTCGGAAGGGGGAATGAATGGGGGAAAGCAGCCCCTAGGAAGGCTGGGGAGAAACTGTGGATTGTGGGAGGAATTATGGCTTTGCCTATTGAAAGCTGTGGGTTCGAACTTTGGCCTTGCCAGTTCAGTCTCAGACAGCAGGCACTAGGGGATACACTTTATGTATTTTCTTCATTTATACCCTGCTCTTTTGCCCTAAATCAGCTTACAACATTCTCCACTTCTCCATTTCATCCTCACAACAACCCTATGAGGTAGGTTAGGCTGGATAGGTGTGACTGGCCCAAGGCCCTATTTTAGAACAGAATGATTGTCCTGCCCAGCGCTTTGCCCCAGCTGGGCTGAGCGCTTTCTAGGAGCGATTCTGCATTGGCTTTCCCCTCTGTTGTTTTACGAGACCCACACTGGGAACAGAGATTTCCCTCTGCATTGCATGCTGCTTTCTCTTTCTTCGATCATTGGGTTTTATGGCACCGTCTGCGTAGATTTATGGCCATTCAGGGGTGACTTTGCAATTAGTACGCGCTGCCCCGAGGTATCTGAATGTGGTTTTTGAGCTGCACTTTCCCCTCTCAGTTGAGAAATGTGAATGCTAGATGCAGGGCCGCTCTAGGTGTGATCAAACTCACAGCCACTTAAGAGACCCAAGTCATCTTTATTTCCCTCCACATACTATTACTCAGGGGTCATTTCGTAGAAAAAGAGCTAGGGGAACTCATTAGCATAACTCATTAGCATATGCCACACCCCCTGACATCAGGGGCCCAGCGGTGGACCTGCAAGGCCAGCGGGAGTGCAAGGAAGCCCCGCCAAGGCCCTCCCTGGCCCCAGGCAGGCAGGGGTGGGGAGAGGCAGGGAGGAAGCAACTTACCCTCCATCTTCTCCTGCCTCCTCCTGGCTGAATGAGGGCCGGAAGCGGGGCTGCTGGAAGCAGGGGGCGGGGCTTCGTCATGTGCCCCTCCCCCCTGCACCTCACCCGGGGGAACTGCGTTCCCCCGCGATCCCCCCTGAAATGACCTCTGCTATTACTTACAGTTAACTCTGCCAGGGGCAGTACAAAGATTCAGGAGGATCTTTTTATAAAGGTCATAGTTAATGTCTGTGAGATTTCGGGTAGGTTCCACTGCAATATTGTTAAGTTTGCCAACCTCCAGGAAGGGCCTGGAGAGCTCCTGCTACTACAACTAATCTCCAGACTACAGAGGTCAGTTCCCCTGGAAAAAGTGGCTGCTTTGGAAGGTGGACTCTATGGCATTGAACCTGGCTGAGGTCTCTTCCCTCCCCAACCCTGCCTTCCCCAGGCTCCACCCCCCCAGAGAGCCAGTTTGGTGTAGTGGTTAGAGCACAGACTCTAATCTGGGAGAACTGGGTTTGATTCCTCACTCCTCCACTTGCACCTGCTGGATGACCTTGGGCAAGCCATAGTTCTGGTAAGAGCTGTTCTTGAAAAAAAAGAGCAGTTTCTGTCAGACCTCTCTCAGCCCCACCTACCTCACAGGGTGTCTGTGGTGGGGAGGGGAAGGGAAAGGAGATGGTCAGCCGCTCTGAGACTCCCTTGGGTAGTGAAGGGCGGGGTATACATCCAATCTCTTCTTCTTCTGCTTCAGATATCCAGGGACTTCTCAGCCCAGAGCTGGCGACCCTAAATTCTATACAATAGGCTGCTTCATTATACAATTTCTCAAATTTTGTAATTCAGTGTTGTTTCATTGTTTGTGCTTTGAATTACACCATTTCATTGCATTTGTTTGTGTACTGTATCCGTTTTCAGTGTGTTAGAAAGAAGAGGATTACAAAATCAGAGCAGCTGTTGCATTTTTGATTGTATGTATAACACTGCTCTGATTGCTGTTTTATACATTTGTCTTAAGAGAGTTGGACTACAAATAAAATAGGCAAATAAATAAAAAAGTAATCTTTCCTGTTAGCAGGCTACTGGGTCCCACTCAGTGCAAGGAAATTTCATATTTTCAAACTGACCTGTAGCACAGCCCAGTGCATGTTTATTCAGAGGTAAATGCACTGCAATCTTAAATGTGTATTTTCTAGGGCAAACTTCTTACTCAAGTAGGGTACCCATAGGGTTGTGCTGCACAGCTGTAATCTTGTGCACGCTTCCTTGAGAGTAAATCCCTGGAATTTAACTGGGATTTACTTCTGAGTAAACATGCCTAGGCACAAGCTATATGTCAATTTCATTGAGGCTGTACTACCTCCAATTATACCCTCCTTGGATTAGTTACTGTATATATCCACATTCACTGTCTCGTAGGGCATTTAGTCCAGAAGCCCAATCGAACATAGTGAGTCACCGAGTACAGAGCCCACTTGTGCTAATAGTGCTCAGAAGGAGAAAAATCATTTCCCGGGTTTGAATTTAGATTTCAAAAAATTAGCATTAAAAAAAACCACACTAGATAGAGCCGTCTTCTCAACGGGGCCTTCAATGTAATACGTTTAAAAAGGTAAAGGTTCCCTTGCTCGAAAGCCGGTCGAATCCGACTCTAGTTGCGGTGCTCATCTCCGTTTCCAAGCCAAAGAGCCAGCGCTGTCCGAAAACGTTTCCGTGGTCATGTGGCCGGCATGACTAAACACCAAGGCGCGCAGAACGCTGTTACCTTCCCACCGAAGTGGTACCTATTTATCTACTTGCGATTTCTTGCTTTCGAACTGCTAGGTTGGCAGGAGCTGGAACTAGAGATGGGAGCTCATTCCGTCCTATGGCACCCTGGGTCTCGAACTGGTGACCTTCCATCCTGGGTCTCGAACTGACCTTCCACAGCCTGCAGTTCATAGTTCTACAAACTATGAACACACAACCCAGATTTAATCCGGATGAACACCATCATGTGTGCATGCAACAGGCATTTGCGAGGCACCTCTCTCTTTTTTTGGCAGTGATTATTCCTTTGGAATAACGGCAGAGAGAGAGATTAAAAAGTATTTCGGATTGGAAGGCGCACTGCCGCCCATGCCGAGTTTTCTTTTCGCATCCGAAAAGCCAAACTCTCCTTTAACTCCCCTGCAATCCCAAACACGGTGTTTCTGAACTCCCGCTGCCTTTTCTGAACAAAGCCAGGCTCACGCTGCACACGCCAAAGCGGTCTGCCGTGCAGTTCTAGGCACAGTTCCCGCTAGGCACAACCGCGTTTACTCCCAGGTAAGCGTGCCTCGACCACCGCAGCCCTAAAACCCCGACTGCGTGGGCAGTTGGCAAGCGGTTCGGCCAATCGCCGCGGGAGTCGCTTCTCTGACCACGCCCCTCTGCGCTTTCGGCTTCCTGATTGGCGGAGCGATAAAAACCGGGCGCGAGAGCTGGGCTCCTACATTCCGTAAACGAAGTCGTGGGAACGCGACGCGGGAAGCCTCGATTCGGGTTTCGCCTTCGGGGGGCTCCCGGAATCGGTGCCTCGTCCTGGGGTCTCTCTACAAGTGAGCGTCGCCCCCTGGCTCATCTGTCCATGCCGTAATTCCTCCTGCTCTCGCAGCCAGGCTGGGATTAACGATGGCCAAAAGGAGTTCTTTGTTCATCCGAATTGTGGAGGGGAAAAACTTGCCAGCTAAAGACATGTAAGTAGAAGGAGGGGGGGGGGATTCCAAAATCCCAACAAGGAAGGGTTTCTTTTCCTAGGTGCTTCATTCTCTCTACTTTGTCAAATAGGGGGGAATGTGCTTCCTATCTGTCTTGTAGTTTGAGCTTTAGGTGTGCTTACTCAGAAGTAAACCTTGTGATTTCACCAGTATTTAATCTCCCGTAAAGCGTGCGCAGGGTTGCTGGCCTTTCCCCCTGGCTTTCTGCATGTTTACGTTCAAGTAGACCTTGTGGTTTTCAGTGGCACCGCTTGGAATGTAGTCTTCTGTGTATTGACTCGGGAGTGGGGTTTGCGCACCTTAACGGTACTTACTCCAGTGTAAGTGGGGTGTTTCTGTTCATGGCTTTTAGCTCTGGCAACCTGCCGTCCTGCCCGGGCGCTGTTGGGGCTTGGTTTGGTTTTCTGCCTATAACTTTCCCTTTTCTCCTACTGGTGTAGCTCAACTGGTGGTGTCTAAAAACAGCCCGATCTGTGTTCTTCTGCTTCCTTTTTGGGGACAGGAAGAAACAATCTACAGATTTCACAAGGCTGAGACATGCTGTGCCAGTGCCCAAAATGGATTTTGTTTCTTTTCCCCTTTTTAAAGCAGGGTTGGCATTTCAGTCATAACACTTGGCTGTAGCGTTTGCGGTGAGCATCCTACGTCCACTCCCACAGCAGCCCTATGAGGCGGGACAATAGGCATGTTTCTCTGCTGCCGGTGGGGAAGGTGAGGCTGAGAGTATTGCTATCTCCCACCAACAGTTAAATTAAGCTGAACCACGGCTGAACTGAGAGGTCTCCTGTTTTGTGTTACCCCACCTCTGATTGGAAATGCTTTCCCCCATCCTCTTAATCCAGATGGCATTGCATTCTTATCTGTTATGGTATTAACAACCAAGGGCAAGGTTGGAAGGTGGCGAAGAAGTCTTTCTCCACTTCAGTGTGCTTACCTGCCATCTGATGTCCCTAAGCTCTTATTAAGTGCCCGGCGTGAATCTTGCTTCTATGATTGACTGGCTGAAGATTTCTGCCCTTCCTTTTGGCTTTGAAGCCATCACTGTGGCTGAATAATTCCAAGGTCAAAGAAGGGGATGAACTTGATGGTAAAACCAGCCTGATTAGTAGCTGTGGCCTTTATAGCAGAAAGAGGACCAGAATAAAAGGTTCTTGTTGTTGTTGTTGTTCAGTCGCACAGTCGAGTCCGACTCTTCGCGACCCCATGGATCATCTCCCGCCAGGCCCTCCTGTCTTCCGCCGTCCTCTGAAGTTGGCTCAATTTCATGTTCGTTGCATCTAAGGTTCTTAGATACGATTAAAAGCACCACAGAACTGCAGTGAGGGTTAGTCCCTTATGTTTTCTGACTGCCCACTTTGCTATGTCTTGTGGGGAGGGGAGGCTTGGTATTCCTAGCTGTATTCATGGTGGTGAGGGGGGGTTTATACACTTTCTTAAAGCCCCCCTTCTCTTCTCTCTCCCTTTCCTTGGAGAGCCAGTTTGGTGTAGTGGTTAGGAGCGCGGACTCTACTCTGGGAGAACCGGGTTTGATTCCCCACTCCTCTACATGCAGCTGCTGTTGTGACCTTGGGTCAGACACAAGATCTTTCAGAGCTGTTCTCTCAAAGGCAGTTCTCGAGAGAGCTCTCTCAGCCCCACCCACCTCACAGGGTGTCTGTTGTGGGGAGGGAAGGGAAAGGAGATTGTAAACAGCTCTGAGACTCCTTTGGGTAGTGATGGGCGGGGTATAAACCCAATCTCTTCTTCTTCCTTCAAACGCTATCCAAGAGCTACCATTTTAGAACCCGGTGAGGTGCAGTGGTGGTTAGGGCATTGGCCTGAGACTGTGGTGAGCTGGTTTCAAAGCCCTCCTCTGACAGGAATCTTGCTGGCTGACGTTTAGCCACTTGGTCTTTCTCAGTCTAATCTACTTTACAAAACTGTTGTGAGGAAAAACTGAAGAAGAAGAGAAGAGATTGGATTTATACCCCGCCCTTCACTTGGAGTCTCAGAGCGGCTTACATACTCCTTCCCCTCCCCACAACAGACACCCTGTGAGGTGGGCGGGGCTGAGGGAACTCTGACAGAGACTGCTCTTTTTCAAGGACGGCTGTGCCAGAGCTTGTGACTGACCCAAGGTCACATCAGCAGGTGCAAGTGGAGGAGTGGGGAATCAAACCCGGTTCTCCCAGATTAGAGTCCGCACACTTAACCACTGCACCAAACTGGAGGAGAGGAGAACCCTGTGCGTTCCCATGAGCCTCTTCAGCCGTTCCAGATATGCTGAGCTGCAACTTCTGTCCGTTACTTGTGTGACATCAGAGTCATGTGACAGGAAGAGCAGGAGCCAGGAGTATGACCTCACTGGGGTCAAGGTGAGGACCACGGACAGCGACCAAGAGAGATGGGGCAAGAAACACAGGGAAAGTTCCAGGACGTGTGTCGTAGCGCAGGAGGAGCCAAGGGTCAGATCCACATTGGCCACTGAGTAACATCTCTTGCTGTTTCTTTCAACATGTTCACAAGACAGGCAGGAGTGTCCTTGCCCTCTCTGCCACAGATACCTCCAAAAGGGTGCCCCCCCCCCGAGGGCTGCTCTCTAGGGCAGGGTTCCCCATGGCCCGTGGGTGCCATGGCAGCTGCCAATACTTTCCTTTGCGCCCGCCAAGCTTTTCAGAAAGCGGACAGGGCCACTGTAAGCCATCGTTATTGGTTGCTCTCCTTTAAATGAAAGGGTTTCCCACTGGAAAATGAGAAGCATCTGGGCTTTCCTTAGTTTGTGGTTCCATTCCCCCTTCTGGATTTCTTTCTTCCCGGGAGGTGTGAGGAGGGAAGGACTCCGTTTGGCCCTGCCTCTGGGGGCAACCATTTGGGGCTTGGCTCTGCCCCCTGCGGTAGCCATTTTGGGGTGGTTATCACCACTCCCTCTCAAAATCTCTGAGGTGCCCGCAGGCTCAGACAGGTTGGGGACCTCTGCTCCAGAGCCTCTGGTGTCGCCTGTTTGGTGTAGTGGTTAAGTGCGCAGACTCTAATCTGGGAGAACCGGGTTTGATTCCCCACTCCTCCACTTGCACCTGCTGGATGACCTTGGGCAAGCCGTAGTTCTGGCACAGCTGTTCTTGAAAAAGAGCAGTTTCTGTCAGAGGTCTCTCAGCCCCACCTACCTCACAGGGTGTCTGTGGTGGGGAGGGGAAGGGGAAGGAGTTTGTAAGCTCAGAGCACTCCTTCTGGTAGTGAAGGGCGGGGTATAAATCCAATTTCTTCTTCTTCCCTGAGTGTTGAAAAGCACTGCCTCAGGGGAAATGTAGGATAACAGAATGGCAGAGATAGGCTCTCTAATGTACACAACATTACTTGCCAAGCGCCCTAAACGATGAGTGCGGTGGTCAGGGGAATTCCCTTTTGTTGTGCAACTTAGTTAGCCATGTCTCTTTTTATCAGCCATCAGCAATGTTGATTATCCATATTCATATCAGCAAGGCATAAAAACCACTGGCAGTTGAGCATGCAGTGTCCCCCCCACCCCACCCCCAAGGGAGATCTTTGGGGCTGGGCCTGAACTGGTGCTGGAACTCACCACACTTGCCCCCCTGGCCAGTGTTCCCTCTAAGCTGAGTTAGTGTGAGCGGGCTCACAGTTTTTTAGCCTCTAGCTCACACATTTTTGTCTCAGCTCAGGAAGGATGGCTCCAGAGCAAACTAATTCATGCAGCAGCCAAATCGCTTGCTCACAACTTTAATGCTGGTAGCTCAGAAATAGAATTTTTGCTCACAAGACTCCAAAGCTTAGAGGGAACATTGCCCCTGGCACCTGTTTCGAGATCTAGAGCTGTGAAGTAGAATCACCTTCCTTAGGCTTGAAGGCTGTGGTTCTGATCTGTTGAGTAAGCCCCGTGGAATAACATAGGACTGACTTCTGAGCTAGACCTGTTGAGGTTTGCTTCCTTCGTGGTAGCAGGGGACGTTACATAGAAGTGGGGGAAAGTTACACTAGGATTAAAGATGGGTTGGGAAAGACTATGAATGTATTACCAGCTGTGAATTAAACACTTGTGGTGTTCACACTGCTGTGTGCTAGCATCCTGTTGTAATCTTTGTGCTAGGCCTGTAAGGTAAGCCCGTGTTGTCATGCCCATTATGCAGATGGGGCAGTGGGAAGACTGAGGCCGAAAGAATGGCTTGCCAAAGATGTCCTGGTGAACTTGCAGCAAGACTAGGGCCCCTGCTGATGACAGCTCATTTACTGAGACTCTGTGCTACACCTGCAGCGGGGAGTTGAATGATGATTTTACTCCATGGTTCTTCCTTCAGAAGGCCTCCCCTTTTTGTCTTTTGTTTCTGCAGTCAAGCTTTCTTTGTGTATTCTTCCTGTAGGAATCATTCCAAACCATTCTTGTGTAGAAAGAAATGCCCTGTTGGAACTGGCCTAACATGGTCATGTGGGAAGGGTGAACAGATTAGCAGGTCAAGAATCACTAAATTCTATATTAAAATTGACATCTCACCCTTTCCCTTCAATCCACTTAAAGCCCTTTTCCGCCTTGGTGTAGTGGTTAAGAGCGGCAGGACTCTAATCTGGAGAACCAGGTTTGATTCTCCACTCCTCCACATGAAGCCAGCTGGGTGACCTTGGGTCAGTTGTAGGTCTCTTAGAGTTCTCTCTCAGCCCCACCTACCTCACAGGGTGCCACTGTTGTGGGGAGAGGAAGGGAGGAGATTGTAAGCCTCTCCAAGACTCCTTCGAGTAGTGAAGGGTGGGGTATAAAACCAATTCTCCTTAATTTCTATTGTCTTCACAACAGCCTTATAGGGTAGGCTAGCAGGTGATAAGGGCCAAGGTCACCCAATGTGCTCTGCAACTGAGTGAGAAATTGAACTGGGGTTCTCCATGGTTCAAAAGCTACGATACTCCCGATGGCTATTGCCCCTGCTTATTTATGGAGGTGCTCTGAATGGGTCATATACTTGGTGCTAGAATTTGTTGACCTTCTCAGAGCTCAA